ATGTGGTTGAGGAGGACAGACCGGAAGATGCCGATGAGAATCCCATATGAGTCCCGGGGCCAGACGAATCTGATTGGAAATTGACAGAAAAGAGAAATGAGTTTGCGATTGATGTATATGATCTTGAATAGGCACTGCAGTGTTTCGGCAATCGAAGAGCTCCAGAATCCAGTTTGTCTCACGAGCTAATAAAAGTCACAGCTGCTGATAATGATAGTGGTAGTGTTTCTGAGGGTAAGACGATCTCGAAGGTGGAACGCTCAATGTGTTCAGTATGAGTAAGAATGAAATAGGTTCCGGGGTGAAACATACAATGGGGATATTGTGCTAGACAATAGCAATTTTCATCAACGACTAACATCGCAGGTGAGAGAACAAGTTAACAGAAAATGTGATCGTGAATTGTCGGAAAGCATCCACCACGCAAGTGTTGTTAGCGCGCTGTGTGAAACGAAATTGCAGTTATCCAGCATTATAAAATCGGAAATTATCTTGAAGTCTGCATTATTGGAGGAAGAAAACACTCATCCACAGTTCGAACATAGTGCCGGAAAATTGGGCGGTGGTGGCCAAGCGGTTAGGCCATCAACTTATGACTTAGGAGTACCGGGTTCGAAACGCTCCACTGCCGCCTGTCTTCCCCAATTCTGCATTTCCAGGAAGCCTTTTTATGGCCGCGGCCCCCCTTCTTGAATGTTGACTGTACATTCGTATATTCAATAAGTAAAAAAGGAAGTAAAAATACGTTTCGTTATTTTTTTATAGATGGTCGATAATTTATTCATAAAACAAAAACTGAGGAACTTGTAAATAAACAGTGGTTGATATTGTGAAGCTTACAAAGAGACTATTTTAAAAAGGATCAAACCACCTACACGATGAATTCAGATCGAGTTGTGATACAAGGAGCAGCCAAATGTGACAAATTTGACAGAGCCCCATAGGGGAAGAACCAACGCGACTTGTTGCGAGTATTAGTATTCATTTTAGTGGTTGTAAACTATATCTTACCATGTGCATCGGTTACTGTATTAGCGGAAGCCTTCGAACTGCCAGATCCACCAGCACCACCACCGAACACACCAGACATGAATCGTTTAAATCCGGCCGCTGTACTTGATCCTGATTTGCTGGTCTCGGTGACCGAGGTGGGAATCCACCGGGGCATGCCAGGTACAGGTCGGTGCATCTCACTGTTGGGTCCAGAATCGGTATCTGGGGTAGAACGTGAGGCCCCACCACCACCACCACCGCCAGACACCGAAGAGGTTGGCGAGAGTGGTGATGCGGTGAACAGAGTGACCAACTTTTGTTCCAAATACAGGCAGACCTGGGATGGAGGGGAGTGTGCGGACGAAGATTATACACAGATCAAAAGTCACGCATGGGTTCAGGAGTTGATTAGTGAATCCACTTCAATAAACACAAGAACACAATCTCTCAATATGTGGTCGATTTTTCAATCCATTTGTGGTCGAATGTTTGGTAATTAAGTTAACCAACTGAACGAGATAATTATTGAAAGTGAGCTGATGGACAACGTGCAGTACAACTAGATTCACATCACACTCATCTGGTTGTCACGAGAACACGTCCGTGAACTGCGGAGACCCGTAAATATATATATATATATATATATATATATATGAATAGCTTCTTTTCATCAACCGTCTATTGTGATAGGAATCAAACGGATCAATATCAAATGTATAAACGGCCGAACTGTAAACACTTATTTCGCAAACAATAAAGAGAGAGAGAAATGGAGTCATCAGGCCTGAAAAACTAGTATCCAGACTTTGAAGGACAACCCAATGAACAATGGCACGATTCAACCGTATGTTATGAGCACTGTGACAAGTGTTATCAGCACTACACACTCTATCCACCGAGGGAGAACAGTTTGGTATTCATGGCATTATAAACCCTCACACACCCACTCCGAATCTATGTCCCTAGTCCCAAATGGACACTTATGACCCATGAGAGGATGAAAATCAATCGTCGATAGAGATCTAAAATCGGGCGATCCCAATGTTGATAGAACGAATTCAACAAGTGTACCGATTCATGCAAAATCTATCCGAATGTCCCAATGTTGTTACTAAGTCAACCCCAGTGGTAGCAGTTCAAGGATGATGGAATTCACTATTGGTACTCCAAAAATGGCTACCACCGTTTTACAGAAGTAATCGCTCTACACCGCCTTCGATGGCTTGGTCACGTATTGCGTATGCCTGCCCATCGACTACCTTTCAGTGCTCTCTTCGCGCGTACCGGGCAAGGCTGGAAGAAGCGGCGCGGCGGTCAGACCATGACATGGGTTAGAGGCATGAAGAAGCTGGCTTCAGTTCTAGCTTCGGTTGGTGCAGCCCATCTTCCAGGTTGGAGCCCAAGGGATGAGGATTGTCGCTGAGAGACATGTCACAGAATAGAAGTCAGTGGCGCGAATGCTGTACGGTCTGTCTGTCTGTCGAAATCCCGTGCCCCGTAAAAACACACACAAAAAAATTGCAAAACGTGTACGGTGAAACACACAAAAAATTCTGCTATCTTGTATTTTCCCATGTTTAACTGTTTCACCCCCTTTTCACTATGTTCTGTACCCCAATCCACCTATCCCGTATTATTGTTATTGTTATTATTATTGTTGCATTGGTACCACACGGGATGAAACAGAGAAACGAGGACCACCGGAGCTGCACCTGAGACCACCGTTGAATCGTAGACCCCAAAACAACCCAGTCTGAAGACACTATTAGCACGATCAAAAGTATCAAAGCTTTCTCCACAATAAACGGATGTTAGGCGACCATGATGTGGAGGGCAAAGACGTTTACCCAAAGGGATTGCCCCATCGACAATACCTGAACTGTTGCTACAACAATGCCAAAGGGTTCCTCAGAAAGTTTTCCAAATTCAAGTTGTTCCCAATAGGCCCAATAAGATTTTATCGCTATTACCGAAATGTGGCTGTCAGTTACGGTTATGGATTTTGAACAATGTTCACTGAATATGTCTCAACTAGGAAGCAACTATCCTAAATGTGGCGGTAGTACTGTACCTTATTTTCGGGAACGTCTTCAGTGAGAAGCAATCCATCTTCCGGTTAGGGTCCGTGATAAACTTTATTGTGAATTACGTCTGTCCAAGCACGATGAATAGTTGGTTAGTCATCTATCGTCCTACATTATTCCCAGGGTCAGCCGACGAAACTTGTAAACGGTGCCACATTCTTACACAGTGATTCACCCATGTTCCCCTAAACGGCGACTTCAACTGTCCAATATCAGTGATTAAATGACCTTCCATCCAATATTTGAACATCAGTTCAAACAGATAATTGACTTGTATCCACTGTACAACCACGTGAAGGAGGCCACCAGGTTTGGGAACATGCAGTCATAATCAATACTGGATTAAGTATTGACAAACGATAAGTTGATGGTGGAATCCATCATTGTTTCCCATACCCTAGGACAGAGTGATCATGCAATGATTCTGTTCAAATAAATTTGTTACTCGGCTATTAGAAGAAGTTCTCCAAACAATACTCGCACATCCACAGACAATTCAAACATGCAGAATTTAATCCTCTGGTCTCCTGGGAGCAGTTTTCATTTATTTTCATTTTACTTCCTTTTATTGAATACACAAAGATACAATTTTCAGGAAGGGGGAAGCGGCCAATCAAAGGGCTGCTATTTAACACAATGGGGAAAGTGAGGCGGTGGTGGTGGGATTAGAACACACATCCCCGAGGTGATTGTTTGGTGACGTTACTAACGGGGCACCACCGCCGGTCATACAAATCCACGGAAAAGGCAGATTAAGACTAAAGTTATTACCAAGTTATTACCTATTCGAAACCATAAGAGGAAATGGATATCTCTGAGTATAAACGAATTGCGGATGTCATCATTTGGAAAAACTGTCGACGATTGAGAGATCACTGCAAAAGGCTGATTCATGAGGATAATTTGGTACATCAAGAGTTGCGGGCTCATATATATATATATATATATAACAGGCGAAATAGAATATATATATATCTTCTATTTCGCCTGTTCGCCGAGCTTGGCAATTTTTTCGCAAACGTTTCATCACCTGCCGAGGTGAGATCATCAGTGCTTGTGAAAAGGCCAAGGATTGATAGGTCAGTCTGCAGGGAGACGGCTCGTCTGATAGTGTACGACACGAGCTACGGGACATTGACCAAATGAATAGTGAACCTAAAGCGTCGTCCGCAGCCCAGTTAGCTACACCATTCTGGATGAGCCAGCTGAGGGAGAAAACATTCAGAAGATTCAAGGGGCTGGGAAGAAACAAAACCAATGAATTTCTCTTCCTACGTTTGTTTACTCAACAGTTTCGCTTAACTTTGTAAAGTGTTGGCAGTTTGAGAGATCTAAGCTGGTGATTAAATAATAGTAATAAATTAGTATGTGTATGTACATTAGCGATATTTACACTAACCTGTGAGTAAAGTTCATTTAACGACGGAGATCCGGTCGGTGGACTGTGTTGTTGTGTTTGACGTTGATGCGGTTGGGCCCGAATAAGCAGGGCTGCGTGCAACAGCAACATGGCTGCTTGCAATCCCACATCTTGAAGAACGGTAACATTGGTTTGCAATACGGCCAGTGTTTGTCGCACTGCTGGTTCCAGAGTGGCCTCGTGCAGTGGTTCCGTTTGCGGACCACTATGAGCTAGTTCGAGCACGGCAACGCATCGAGCCAAACCCAAAGTGAGCCAGATGTGAATAGGAGCTGGGAATTCTTTTGGTGAAGGCAGTTTATCTTGCACTGGAAAATAACGATAGGGCCGTAACAAGAACGTAAAGGGTCAAAAGGGAACATGTCGCTCTCTGAGTGATTTGAGAACACTCTTGTATTGGAAAAATAGGAGTTCTGACATTAGGACAGAAATAAATAAAAAATCGTAAGGGAGACAGGGGTTAGACGCGTTTGTGAGAAAGGAAAACGTAATGACTCAATGTTTAACTTGTCGAGGATAGCCTTGTTATAAACAAAACCTTTTCGAACGGTCGGAATGGCCGACAAACGACAACAAGAACGCCAAGGCTATCAGTTCACCTTTGTATCCTTCGGTTTCTCAAGCCAAAAAGTGGCAGCAGGGTTCAGACACCAGTCTTTGTCTATTTACACCTTCACGCGACTGCTGTTTGTGCGCCAATGATTGAATCCCAATGAATGTGTTGGAGGTAGATATTTTTGACTATGGAACGTCTCTGCTCAGACGCGTTTGTCCTACATGATGTGATAGTGTGCTGTCATATTTTTGCAGCTATCTTCTATGTGACCCACTACCTGTCCGTGGTACAACCCTCAACATATTCTGGTATTCACTGAGGTCGACAGAAGATGATACTTGTTTGACGAGTATAGTCCATCGCTCTCCTGCATCTTCATACTCAGCTGACAAAACTCCATTGCAGACCTGGAAATACGCTCTCGTGCAATAGTTCACGCATATTCTTACAATGAGAGACTTTAATAAACCCAATTTTATAAGATAGAAGTATAATATACCATTCGAGGGACATTTACCAAGGTTTAAGTGACTGACATTCAATGTATAATCAAGCAAACGAACCTAAGAGATGCGTACCAGACCGATTATCATCAACATAGGTCTTGGTATTATTAATCGAGGAACTTAAGGTATAATCCACCAAAATCACGCGTCCAGCACGGTGCAGTGACCGTGCTGTTTTTTTATTACATCTACCACCCATCTATAGAAGGATTTCTGACTAGCAAGGCTTGCACCCCTATTGACTACAGCGAATTGCAGGATCTGGCGTCATCCGAGTATAGGACTCTTACGGAAGAAGAGTTTGATCAATAGGTGTCCTGGCAAAGATTCATCGTCACTCTAACAGAAGCGATGATCAAACCTACTGGTAAACATCACGCGATTACCACCCCTTCGCAGCCGAACAACGAAATGGGTGGCGCAGTGGAATGTTTCCTAGCGAAAGTTAAAAAATGTTCGATTGGGGACACTTAAAATAATTACGCTTTCCTGAGAAAACATTATATAATTTGTACCAAATGATAAGCAGATAAAAACAATTATTTCCCATTTGAAGCTCCTGAAAAAGCATGCAAACTCAAGGCAAGGGAATATGGGATATGAGCATTGAGAGAGAACGGACGCATTTTTAATACTACGCATGTGGTAGCTGAATTCCTGAAATTATAGTCACATGAATTTGCATACCGAAGGGTAAAGGGGGACTGCAGTTTCTGTGATTGATCCCGGAAATTTTATATCCACAACTGACTTTCACGGCTGGAACGGCAAAAGCCAAGTATTTGGCGTGTCAAAGAAATTCATCCCAGAGGAAAAGAACATGAATCCGCCAAGTCTGACTTCCCTGGAAAATCCCAAATATGAATTAACAACTGATTTATGCCAACGGGTGCTCGATAAGACGGTAGTTATTCAGTCTTGGAAACATGGTGTAATTGTCTCTATTTACAAGGAGGACTGTAAAAGCGATCCCCCGAACTTGTGCCCAAATATATTGGGTTGATGAATTTTTTAACAATGTTTCCCGTGAGTTCCAGTAATTGGGTTATTGTCCAAACCGATTGATGCAGTCGGTGTAGTTTCGGAGGTATCTGTACTTTTCCTAGCATTAATAAAAAAAATTGACCAAATATTCTTGGGTTCACTGAAGAAGCAAAAAAAATGGAAAGAGTAAAAGGCCAGAAGATTATATAACACTATAAGAAACACTCAAGGGCGCTCACTGATGGTTCATCATCCACAGTATCTAATGACACCTCCACAAACGGGCCTCTGGCCACACGACCCTGGAAATCAGCTAATGAGATGTGCTCGAACCAGAAGGATTTGAGGAGTTAGGAATGCAAACGCATTGTGTTAGAGCGTCATTATTGACTTTCAATCAAGTACGATTAACCAAGCATGTTGTTTTGTTGACTTATTTTCTTCGTTTGCTATCGATAAACATTCAACCCCTCGCCGAGTACGCCATCCAAGTTTGGGATCCACGGTTAGGTCGTGACAAAAGAGAGCTCGAGCGTCCGCAGAGAATAGCGAAAATGGTCCAAGGAGTAACATCGAGGATCACTGTTGTAAGAGTGCAAATACTAGGACTCAATATCGCTGAAGAATGATCCCGTATACCAAATAACACAGGAACTTAACCACTATGTAGTACTCTGAAGGTAATATCCAGAAGTAATCACCGAAAGGGATATCTCTGGTACCTCAGTAGAGTCGACCAGATTGGTGCTATTACTCCTTCGGTATCAGAGTGCGTTGCACCTGGAACTCCTCTCTTCCATCCGTGCTGACCGTGCTCCAATCATCGATTTGTTTAAGCCACGATTTGATGAAGCATTGAAACAAATATCTGTTCAACACTAGGGAATGAACATGAATATTGATCATTTTCTTTATATCACCATCCATATACAGTGGGTAGAGATCCTATGGGTTCCAGTAGGATTCAGTTTTGCAATTAACCTATAAGTGAAATTTGAGCTTCTTCTTGTGTACATCATGAAAACCAACGTCCAACATGCTTCCCCGAACCGAATCGAAACACGATCCTGTGGTGTGACGACACTCACCATCCTGTAGGTATCGTCCAAGCCAGACAAACTGTTCGCGGGATGTGAACAAATCCGAAAGCAGCACAGCAGACCGAACCACTGCGAGTAAAGGAGCCAGAACCAGACCCTTTCGTGTCGTCGCCAGTCCCGCTGTTGTATCACCCGAAGCGGAACGTGTGCCCGCCACGTTTGTGCTTGTGCTAGTACCGGTTGAATTTATGGTGCTACTCGAGGCGTGCAGGACATTTCCATCCGATCCGGAGTCCGGAGGAGAACCGAATGGAGTCG